TACCTTTCCTATCTTTTATATTTGGTTTGTTGTTAAGTGTTGCTGTTTGTTAATTTTCCTCTTATTGTATAGTTACTTTACCAATCCACATATATTATAATTACCTAGATATACTAATTTTCATACTGTTTTTAGATCCACTGATGATGACATTAAATTGAATGTCTAAACGTTTGGAAATAAAGATTATTTTATAAATCTTTGGCTTTTCTTTGTTTGATGTATCGCCCTCAAGAACTCACTCATATATATATATATATATATATATATATATAATACAATATAATAATAATAAATATTAATATAATAATAATAAATGGTAGTCTGCCTGAAGGCAGGTCCATGGTGTGAGGGCCACCACAAATAAATGCTTTCCTTACCCTTCGTCATTCCCATTTCCACTATTTTCTCCCCTTTTTTTCATGTACTTATCTTCCCAAACTTCTGCTTCCATGCTTCATGATCCTGTGCTTCGTCTTTCAGTTCCCTGTATTTTCTCTTCTCACGTAGGTCATCAATCATTTGCATTCTTCTTCTTCCTATTCCTTTCAGTCCTTCTATTTTATCCTCGAGGACGTCGTGCAGGAGACACTCTTTCTGTAGAAGGGTCCGATACAGTCTTTTCTTCTCACTATTGTGCTCAGTAGAGTCCTTTCTTTGCCCACTCTTCTCAGGACTTCTTCGGTTGTTATTTTGTCTGAATGAATGAATGAATGAATGAATTTTATTCATTCATTTGTTCGCTAAATTACATCTAAAAAACATTTTTAGAATTTTTGAAAATTTTTCCATGCTATTTCCATACAAAACTTTGATTGAATTGCGCTCTATCTAAACGTTAATATTAAGAGCTAAAACTTTCGGAGAATTGTTTTTTATCTATTTGGAACCATTTGAGCCCCTGGGAGCAAGGAAATTCGAAAATGACCATTTTAAGGACCATCCTAATATATATATATATATATATATATATATATATATATATATCGTCTTACGTACGATGCGCGTTTTAAGCTCTGCGTTGACGGATCCGAAAAACACTGTCAAAACAATTCCCCAATTCGTTCATGATGTGTTGTGACGCTTTAAAAGTTTTTATTTCTGATAGCGCGAGGGATATTTGGAGAAATGACATCGGTATCATGCCCTAACAGGACCGTATTTAGAGTTATAAATAAAAATTTAATAATACATATGAAATGAAATATTTAATAATACACTTGAAATTCGTCATTAGGATATCATATATTTTATTTGAATTATGGTTATAATTTAATTATGTTAGCGTATTATATACGTAAAGTATCTTAAATTTTTAACTTCAATACTCTATTCAAATGTGTACTCTTCTTAATAATAAAAATTTTAATTAATTATCAAAATCATAACATTTGCAGAAAATTAATTCGGGACAGGATATATAATTATGTCAGACATGAAGGCATTTAAGCAACATTTAATATGATTTATCTATCATACATATAGCTTACTGCCAATCGGAATCCTCAAAATTTTATTCGAAAGCCCGTATGTGTTTCTTTTAACCGCGTATGCATAAATTTAATGTGAAATTAGCAAATAATACATTGAGAAAAGAAATTCTAAAATGAATGTGAATAGTATTATTTGTTGAGATTTTTTTGCAAAATATTATCTAATGAGGGGGTTAAATTAATCCTTACCACTCGCCTGCTATCTTACCTTGTCTCTCGGTTGTTTCTTCTAAAGCACTAGGCAGTTTGTGTTAATTAATAATAAATCAAGGATGAGCAACCCACGGCCTGCATGCAGTCCTTTAATTATTTTACCACCAAGCGTTACTAAAGTAAAGTTTTATTCATTTCATCAAATTTTTTCAAAAAATAAATTCATTATATTATTATTATTTGTTGCATTAATTTTGAAATATATACTTTAATATTTACTTTTACATACGTTAAAATATTCTAAGCAAGGGTCACAGATAACAATATAATAATCATTTTTTAACTAATTATTTTCTTACTTACATATAAGTAATTGATCCATTTCCTTTCTGACTGTTAAAATAGTAACGCGAACGCGTGCCGAGGACTCCGCTTATTGGAAAAGACTGTTGTAGGATTTATAAGGCATTAGGGGAAAACATAACAATCGTATGCGGAACTAGACGGAATAGTTTCCTTGTTTCACGAAAAAAACTCTGAAAAAAAGTAGATTAAAATATATTCAGACAACATCAAACAGCTTTTTTACATATGGATTTTTTGTAATTCTATCCTACAGATTTATTTGAAATTTGGTTGTGTTTTCTATAAATAAAATAAGAATATAGAAATGAATGGAAACACTGAAATTGCTTTGTGAATAAAATGTAATTTTTATTTATTTTCGAAACTAAGAAAACTTCGTTCCTACTACATTTCTTGTCTGAATAAGTTCTTTTGATAACGTCGCTGGGAATTGTTGTTCTATATACACATCGCATGTTATTACACATATTTCTATTTCAATTCGAATTTTGGTTTTATGAATAATTCAAATTTTGAACAAAACAGAATAAGTCAATATGCAATTGTATATATTGTATGTATTGATAATATATTTTGACATACACCTCTTTATAACTAAATTAATTTTGAAGTAATTGACTCGAGCTAATTAGGATTTGTAAGGTATTTATAGTGTCTTATATGTTGAGATGTCGGAAGGTGCATTAGCAAGAGCTATTAAGATTCCTAACAAATTGTGGAAACTCAAACAAATGCTCGGCTTGTATAAAAGATTCAACAACAGATGTGACAAATACATTTAGTTCGCGACCGGCGAACAGCGATATCTATTTCGACGCTTTTCTTATTCGACGTTTTTTTTGGAAGATAAACGCCCAATCACAGAATGGAAGAACGATTTTATAGAGTTTGGTTGATTGCTTTTACTTCGAGAATAGATTGATTTCATAAACAATTATTTTTTATAGTTTATTAGAAGTGTAATTTGAAATTTTTAAACTTATTTTTATTAATAATTATTAATTATGATTATTGTTTCATCCCTTGAGTAGCGCTACTAGGCTTTGCGCTGTTATGTTCTGAAATGATTAAATAAATTGTTTAAATCAAATTTTATTAAATCAATGATATAATTAATTTTAGTTTAACAAATTTGCATTGTTTGCCATTATTAATTAACTTCCCGTAGGGTAAGTTATTGTAATGGGCCGAAAATCGGAATTGAAAATTTTTACATTTCTCGACGTTTTGAAGGTTTCTGAACATTTTGGCATACTTCAGAAGAAATGGATGTGTGTGTGTGTGTATGTATGTATGGATACAAATTTTCGCCCACGTTTTCGGGCGTACGGATCAACCGATTTGAATGGTTTAAAAAACATTCGTTTCCTATTGATAAGGAGATGTGCTGATTAGTTTTTGGCAAAGGCAGGTCCAGCAGTTACGGAGATAAGGAGCAAAGAGTGCAGAAAATAGAAATCGAGTTTTTGAGAGAACGGAGCATCCGATTTGAATGATCTAAAAAACATTCAATTAGTAATGATTGGGAGAAGGGGTTATTAGTTTTTCGCAAAGGCAGGCCCAGCCATTTTGGAGATACAGAGCTAAATGTACAAAAAATGACAGTTTTTGAGAGAACTAAGCGTCCGATTCAATTGATTCAAAGAACTTTCTGCTTGTCTTAACAAAATAATTGATTTTGGAAAAAAAAAATTTGTTTCATTTTTTTTTTAACTTTTTGTATATCGAAAATAATTCAGATTTTATTTTTAATTCTGACTATAGTTCTAATATACTTTAAACAAATAATTTCAACTCTGCAATTCAGTTTATATAATTCTTATAAATATTAGACAATGTTACAATATTTATATTAATCTATTTGAAAACATTCAATATTCCTCGAACATTTCGTTACGGTACGGGAAGTTACAGCAATTTGCCTTAAGGCACGATGCCACCCACCCCACTAGTTTAATTAATAAGTGATGTGCAAGCCGTTTTATAGAGAAATATTTTAGCTTTCGTATCAGAGATAATTAATGTCTGAGGTCTCCCTCCCAATTATTCAAATCGTAATGTAAACAGAACATCTTGGAATTGTAAAAATACCTAGGAGTAGTTTTCGGCACACTATCGTCAGCTGTAGGAGAAAGCACGTCTATTACGATGGCGGGACGTTTTTTTTAATAAATAATATTAACATTGAGTAAATATATATAAAATTTGTGATACAACTTCAAGATTTCATCTGATAACGAATATGAAATATGTTTTTGAATAACTTTTGTAGAAGTGCTAAAGTAAATATTTATCAAAATATCGCACCTAAACACAAGTGATTAAAATTTTTAATTAAAGCAGTTTAATATTATCATATTAACTTGTCAAAATTGTTAATGTAAATTCAATATTAGTAATATTATACATATTTTTTAATATATAATAACAATATTGAATATAACAAATATTTAATAAAAGCATTATAAGCAATATTTTGATCTGAATTATGTATAAAAATGTATTGAAACTTACTTGATTATTTAACATTACCTACTGAATTATTTATTAAAACGATAAAATAATTAATGTGTTTATTATGTGCGCACAAGTGGTGTTTTCAATTAAATAACCATAATTGTTAAATTTGTTAAAATTGATCAGTTTAATGTAATATAAGCAAAATTTTAGCTAATTTTGATTTCCGTATAAAAAATTTAATACAAGCAAAATTGGTCAAAACTTATGAATAAATTTAATATAAAAATCACAAGCATTAACTTAATTTTAATTATTTAAATGTTAAACTTGAATTTATTAAAACTATGAAAAATGTGCTAGTTCTTTTTTATATTAATCAATTAAAATACGAACAACTGAACTATTGTTACTAACAATAATAATTTTACAAATTAATTATGCTATATGTCATGTGTAATATTCCAAAATGAATTTTTGACAAATTTAATAAGAAAGCATAGACAATAAAAATAATTTTGTGAAATGTTTATTTTAAGTAAGTGGATTCAAGACATATTTACAATAATTTGCAATTTTTATTGTTTAAATCAAGGCTGAAATATGTATCAACTCATTTTTTTAGTTTTATGTATACACTCACTTCTAATACAAGGTACGTACTATGAATTAAATATTAATAATATTTTTATTTTTTATAATTTTATGTTAATATTTTTTCTTGTAGTTTTTTAATTACGCATGAAATTCAATTTAGAATCTCTTATATTAGTAAAATAATATAAACACCGAGATAAATACTATTATTTTGTTTCCTTTACATTTACTGTGTCAACAAAAATTCAATTCTTATTTGAAAAATATTTAATTATTTAGAAGATCTAATAGCTGAGCATTATTGACAATTTCACATGATTACTATGCCTTATAAATTTTTTTAATGATTATTCTCTATATTAAATATACATCTATTAGTTATTTTAATAAAAATTAATATTATCGGCCTGGTGTTCAGAAATATCTTCCAATTTTACATTAGCGATGGAAAAAATTATGATATCTAAAGTAATATATTGAACTTAAATAGATAATTTTGCAAAAATGAATACTAAATGATTATTTCTTGCCAATTTGCAGTACAAAGTGGTGGAATAATATCATCTCCTAATCTAATAATTCCTATTGCTAGAGCTGGTGGCGATGTTATAATGAGTTGCGAGTAAGTAGCTAAGTTATTGAAACTTTTGCATTTTTAATCTACTCTCTATTTATATTTCATTTATTTTTTAAAAATGTTATATACATTTTTTATACATTTTTGCCAATTTTATAGAAACGCAATTTTTACCACATTATATTCAAGTGTTATGATCTAACTTTGTAATGTTTTTAAAAATCATTGAAAAGTGTCTAATTATAATTAGGCATATCTCTTTAGAAATAATAATAATTACATTGTATTAAATCATCTCAGATACGAATTGTCTGGTGGCGAAAATTCACTATATTCAGTAAAATGGTACAGAGGACAACATGAGTTCTACAGGTATACGCCTTGGCAATGGCCAAAAGGCAGATGGTTTCGAGTGCCTGGAATTCAAGTGGAGGTAAAACTGAACAAACTTTAATATTTATATAATTATATAAATTAACACTTTCGGGACGGCACCGATTTCAAAACAAACTACTTTACCGGCTGTAAACTTGATTTCATTGTGTATGTTATGCAATTTGTTTGATAAAAATTTGTGGTCATTGAGGACATACATTTTTAATATTAATTTATTTTTGATCATTTTATAAAAAATGGTGACATTCAAAACAATTTCCAAAATGCATAGCTGGTTGATTTTGACATGTTTTACAATAAAATGTTGTTCGCCGCCTTCCTTCTGGTGCTTTTCTGTCAGAACAGACAGTACAATCCCTTTTTCTTTTAGAATTTAGAATATGCCACTGATTAGTCAGTATATTTGTTCATTTTTGCGCTGCCATAGTGGTTAGTTTTTTCTATTATATTGTCTAATAATTCATTTATAAAATATAAAGTAAAATAATATATTGGATGTCTTATATTGTTTGGTATTTGTAGTCAGGATGTTTTTTGATGTATGGCAAAACTCGATTATTGAAGGAGAATCGGCACATTCGGTAATGTCTTCCAGCTCTTCATTTACTTTGTCGAACTTCTTCTTTTTGTTGGTTAGATAATATCATCAGCACATTCATCAATATCATCGGTGCGAATAGTAATTTCGTAAAATTTGTCTGTATGAATGTCTATTTGAAACTCATCTTCACTACTGCTTAATTCACAAAATTTACTAGTCATTTTGCCATATTAAAAAAAAGACCATATAGCAAAGAAAAAGGCTAAATATACTATTAAAATAATTTAAAATTATTTTCAAAATACAATACTGTTTATCACTGCTATAGGTAATTTATTCAACTTTTCGATGCCATCTGAGTCATTGTTTATCACAGAGTATGTTTGTCCACTGAGGTGCACAACCGTCCCCAAAGTGTTAATCAGTTGTTTTGAAATTTTACTGTCAATGATCTATTAACAATAATATTTCCGTGAAACCTTATAATTATTATTTACATATAACATAAAATATATTGCTTGTAGAATTTTTTATATTGATAACCGAAGGTTTTTGTTTTAAATTAATCAATAGTAAATTGATATTTTTTAAAGTGTAAAATTTACTTCCAATTAGGTAAGATGTTTTTGAATCAGCATTTTTATAGGAATTTATTGAAATTTATAGCATTACGTTTATATTATATGTTGAAATAGTTCAAGCAGAAATACTTTTATATTCAATAAATAATTTATTGAAACATAATTGAATTTACATTTAGTGAACACAAATATTAATCCAATCGAAACAAAATTGCATCAAAAGCTCATCGAACAAAGCACCAGATTAGCATGTCAAATCTAACTTTGCTTACATTATTACCTAATCTGGATAACAGCTTTATTCGCATAATGTTTGAATGTATTAATTGACGATTCAATAAACTGCTTTTGTAATAAAATAACAATCCGAAATTTAGCATGTTGTTTTGTAATAAAACAGCATGTAAATCTATTATGTTCTAAACTGCTTAAGAACTATTTCATCAAATAAACAACCTGATGCAACTCTTTAGTGCGTCTGCCTATAAAAATTTTATAACCCTCAAACGGCTCTAAGAATTGACGTGAATGTTCGCGTTGTTGAAATCTGCTTAGGAAAAGTAAAATTCTATTTTCTGAAACATAACATATTTACGGGAAAGAAAACAAAGAGATCGTTTTTATAGTCACCAAGAAATTAAAAGTAGTACATGACGAAACCTTTATTTTAGTGAAGATTAAAACAGTCATTTTATTCAAAAAATGTAATATATAATATATATATATATATATATATATATAATATATATTGATACTTGTTTTTTAATTAAGAATAATTTATCAATATGTGTGACATAAAACATTCTTAATTTCAATGTTTCAGATTATAATCACGAATCCTTAAAGTAAATGCAAATCTATAACTTTTGTTCTATTAATTTAATTCAATACCAAATAGCAATTTTTTTTATTTATTTATTTATATAATATATATATTATTTTCAAATCTCAGTCAGACAGAGGTGCCTGGTATGAGAGATTATGAAAACAGTTTTCATATTTTATATATACATTTCATTTGATTATTTCATGAATATAATATCTATTATAATTAAAATATCTTCATATAACTTTCCAATCTTCTTTGTCTTCCATTTCCTTATACTATTTCTTTATTTTTCTTTTAAATTTATTGTCCTCATTAGTCATCTTTATATCGTTTGGCAATTCATTATATATTTTACCAGGGCTCCATATGACATTTCCTCTCAATTTCTTTCTATTGTGTTCAATGTGAAAATTGTTGTGTTGTCTAGTATAGTGTTCATGTATATCTTGATTTATGTCTATTGTGGTACTTGTTTTAATTCTATTATATTTCATTTTGTGTATTAGTTTGCATTTCTCTATTTTAATTATGTTAATTAGTGAATGATTATTTAATTGTTTCTGTCTGTTTCGGTGGGTGTTCAATGTAATTAAATTTCTAAACAAATTATCATCGAAATACTCTGTCTGAAATTGTAGGGCAAATTCTGATACAAATTCAAGTGCAATAATACTGTAGAAGTTATACTGTAAAGAAATATAAAACTATTTTGCTGATAACCAGAAACCATTATTTTGCAGTACTTTTGCCAAGAAAAACTGCTTGCATTAGATTTTATGTATGCAAAAATAGTAACATTTTAATTTTACGTGAAATGACCATTTTTTTATTTCAGAATCGACTAAACTTGCAGTACTATTCCTTGTCAGAGAAGTTAATTAGCATTATTATGCTAACTTAAATTTGATGTAAAATAACAATTGCAACTATTTATACAATAAAAATAAGTTTTCTTTAATGAATCAGAATTGATGAGATTGAGCACAAAACTTTTAATGTTTTTTTTTAATTTTGTTTTTTCGATTTTAACACTATTCCTACCGACATTTCATGTTTGCTATTCCTACCGCGACCGGTCAAATGACCGGTCATGCAAAATCGGTATTTTTCAGTATTGAATGAAGAGTTAATGCTTGTTTAAGAGTTTATAAATACAAATACAATATATTTCTTTTATTTTATAATGCGAATTCTACATTTTATACTGTTTTATCCAATTTTTCACGATTTTTTTTCTTAGAGTGTATTTTCTGCACACGCATTTTTTACGTTTTTGGCTGATTTTGTTTTCTCTATCATTTTTCTAAAGCATTATCTGGAATAGTTTCTTTTAGGGAATCTGTTTTGTACTTGTACTTAGCTGATTTTTTTCTGAATTCTTGTTGGAACTATACGACAAGTTAATTGGAATAGAAAGTTCCTGCCTTGTACATTGTCTTCTCGTAATTTCTTTATGTAACAACAATGGATTTATCCTGAATACATCCAAAATAATGTAAATTCTTGATGAATTCTCTCTAAAATTCATATTTTACCAAATAATTTCTGACTATTTTATGAATGGCATCTACACCAGTCCCGACGCTAATACCAATAGAATTAACTCCCGTATTAGTGTAATTTTTTCAACATATGTGTATGTAAGTGAAAATTAGAATCTTCTTTCTTATCTTCCAAAATTGTAAATATTATTTGAGTATTGAAATCTTTGATTTTTCGTTCTGCCAGTATTTATAGCTGTTATATTGCTTCAATTGTACCTACCATCAGTTTTCTTTTACTAAAAGTTTAGCTATATGTAGGATGGTAAAAACGTTATATATTTTTTATGTCGTACTAGCGATTTTGATAATACGGTTTCATCAGTTATAAATCTTCAAAGAATATCTCAGTTTGCTACGTATACTGGATGGTTACCAAAATTTTACACCCCATTTGTGCGATTTGCAGGGCATAATTATATTTACATCGTATATTGAACAGTTACTAATATTTATACGTTTTCCTAAATACTATTGAACATATGTTGAATGAATTTACACCTTACCTTTATTGAAAATATATGTTTGTCGATAGTAATACGTAGTCTTTTACAACAATTTTGATTGCTGTCAATGTAGTTGAACCAACCTTTGGATTCAAAACAAAACCTATCGATTTATTGTTTAGATTCCTTCGTAAAAATCTGTCTATACATAGACATTGAGAAAATTGAGAAATCCCACTTTTTATACCGTAGAAATGCAATATTTATACTACTTGCCTTATTTGCGCACCGCGCATACAGAATCGAAAAAAATGCATATAAATTTGCAGAAGGCAGTTTTTACCAGTCTAAATTCTTCTGAATTTACATTTTCTTGTAAGTTCCAAAATATTCTTAACAATTACTACAAAAAATCCCATCCGAACATCGTCTTTCGTACTACCGGTCAAATGACCGGTCGCGGTAGGTAAGACAGCATACAATTTTTTTTCCAAAAATAAAAATTGAAAAAACAAATTAACATTGAAAAATGTTTTATACTCACATATTAGGAAAAGTCATAAAGTTTGATGACGATTCAATTACGTTTGATATGAAAAATACTAATCGAAAAATCAAAAACGGTCATTTGACCGGTCCCGGTAGGAATAGTGTTAAGAAGCTCCTAGTGTTTTTTTTTTATAAAAACGAATATATGAAATTCGTATCCATTTTATGTGCATTTACGTTCAATCTAATAAGAGTACTAATATGTCATTTTTTTATTAGGAAAAGCATAACATAGTATAATGAACAAATGCATTTGATAGATCTGTTTTTCTTCATTTCATAGTTGTCTTTGTCCGATGCTCACCAAGTGGCTTTATTAAGGGTACCGGAATTTCTTAGCGGCAACATTACCTGCGAAGTTTCGATAGAGGAGAAATATACAACCGAAATAGCAACAGGGTTAGTATATGTAGATTTATTGAATCTACATTGGATTATTGAGATTAAGTACATTCTGTAGACAGCACACTATCATCAATTACATATGTTTCCAATGTACTTCTTAACGCTGAACACGAATCAAAATTGCCTAATTAAAAAAATGTAATTAATCAAATTTAAAATTAACTACTACGATTTGGTAAAAAACGCAGTCAAAATGACCGTTTCGCGGCCGCGGATTTGTGATCAATGCATAAAATATTTAAACAATTTAAGTTTAAAAACAATACGCGATGGGGATTTTATATCTTACTAATATTTCAGCTCATTCGTATATTTCATTAAAATGTTCCTCAAGAATGGTTCTAAATTTAAAATAGTACTAAACAAATCCTAAACATAACAACTATTTTAAAATAGTTTATTTTTTATTAGATATCTTTTCGTTCTTGCGCCTAAAACGACCATTGACATGCCGCTGGACAGACCACAGAATGGTGAATCCCCTGCTTCATTGAAGAGTTCTGCTGGATATACCAATCACGAAAACTTTATAGTTTCAAATCATGATAAAATTATTAATCGAGGACATCAAATCTCCAATAATTTCCAAGTCATGGTTAGCTTATGTTATTTTATTATAACTTATAATGTACAATTTTAAGTTGAAGATATTATAATTTATTTTGAATACAATAAAGAAGCTAATTAATTTTATAAGTCATCTGTTAATAAAAACTGGCAAAGTTTTTGTGTCATATATTTAATATATAGTTTGTGGTTTAACAAATGGTGAAAGAAAGATCTGCAGAATCATGTCTCAATAGAAATCAAATTTTGTTAATTAGACTATCCTTAATTATAGTTATTATTACTATTATACCATTATTATAATAATGAAAATGAATTAAACCTGGGGTAGATTGCCACCACTTCTAGCTGGCGTAATTTTATTCTTTCTAACAATAAGTAAAGATTTAGAAATAAAAGATTTTATAACTGAATAACTGAATAACTCGGTGAGAACAATATGTTAAAATACTTTTAAATAAATGGATTATGTATTATATGTAAAAATAAATTAGAAACTTTTATAAATTGAATAGATATTAGAAATTGTGAGCAAAAAATGGTTATGTGCAATTCATATATAAGAAGTAATAAAATAATATTTCATAAATAAAATAAATAAGTCTTAAATAAAATAATTTGTTTTTCAATATTCATGGACACTTTTATGATAAGACCGTTAGATTGTAAGTTAAGAGATTAAAAGAAAAAGGCTCGAAGGACCAATGTTAAGGATGGCGGTTGATTAGACCCTTTCGGAATAGCTTATTGAATTCGACTCAATAGCTACTCCGAGGATTTTGTAAAATTGAGTATATTAAGGAAAATATTAATCCTTCTAGAGGACCAAGCAGATATAGACTCCAAAGAACCAATACTTAGAACTTATAACTTATAAGTTATAAGTTATAAGCATATCATTGTCGGAAGCACGTGATGATAGTGGGGTGACTTCTAGTTGTGAAATAATTATATTTTTGTATATGAAGATCTACGTTTGAAGCAATGCATGAATTAATCAAAGTGCTGGATACTTGAGATAAATCGTTTTGATCATCTAAAATTTTTCCGGCATGCTTTATTTTTGCGTAAAGCTTTTCCAACGCTCTCGCGAGGTCATATTCCGGAATATAGCTAGGATTTTCTAACTGTTTCAATAGATTAATTTTATCGGAAAAAGGCATATTTTTGTAAAAAATTGTATCTTACTTGAAGAAGAGCCAATATGATGAGAAATGTCGTAAGTTTCTTGGATGATTGAAAAATACATTTCCATCTTAGCTGTTAGTCGATCAATCTCTGCACCAACGTCAAGTTCAGGTGCCATCTTCGATTACTATTTCCTTAATATACTCAATAAATCCTAATCAAAATTAGGATCCGGCTCGAATGATCAATGTTAAAGATGGGGGTTGCATGGTTAGACCCTTTCGGAATAGCTTATTGAATTTGACTCAATAGCTATTCCGAGGATTTTGTACAATTGAGTATATTAAGGATATACTTGATGTTATCTGCTTGGAAGGCGGTCCACTCGGACGGTGGCTTGAAGTCCGGAATTTTCAGATCGCTGTAGGAATTGGATGCTGAGGAAGGAATTGACTCCAAAAGCACAAATAAGGAACACTGGCTAAGATTAATAGAGTATTTATTTACACAAATAACATCAAACACTCGGAAATATACAACAAAACTAATACGGAAAACTAGTGAACAACTTACATGAACAAACAATAACGCTCATGATTAACGTTGCAAATCGTTGCAAATTGTCTTCTTTTGGTATTGCCAGAGACTAAGTATTGTCCGACTCCGACAAATGCAGCTTGCTCGTCCACCATCTTTCTGGCGCGAACATAAAGATTACATATATAATATTTTAATCATTCAAATAACTTTTATATAATAACAACTCCCACGCCCAAACAAAATGGTCTGCTAGCATGTACGTGGAGTTGTTTTACCTATTTGTTTTTATTTTGATTTTTTTATGTAAATTATTCATAGATAAACAAGTATATATATATTCCCATCAAACTACCTTTTTATTCTTTAATTTTTTCAAATCTTGTAAAAAGCAATATGATTTTACAATTTGAATTTTGAATTGAATAGATTCATCTAATCACTCTTCTTTTATCTATGCATCTAATTATCATTTATCTTAGGATTTCAAATTGCCCGCCATAGATATGGAAATATGTTGTTCGCTATCTTTTATAAACAACTTCACTAAATGCAATATTTCAATATGGCTGAGTTTGTTTATAATTTTGTACAAATGTCAAGTTATAGTTAGTTTTTGTGATATTTTGGAAAAAGATGGAAACTGGAAAATAAGGACAATATGATTTGTAAATTATTAAATGTTGAATCAGATAAAATATGTAGATCTTGTTTAACGATTAGTGATGAAATGACATCAATATATAATACTATCAATTGTGAAAACAATACTGTTCATTTTAATGAACTCATATCTGTGATAACTGGCGCGTTGGTACGTTTCTTGTTTAAATTGTAATATTATAACAATTAAAATTATATGTAAAAACAACTTTCAGGTGTCTGTTGATGCAGACCTTCCCAGTCAAATATGCGTAGCTTGCTCAACAAAATTTCTACAATATTTTCAATTCAAAATTCAAATTTTAAAATCATATTGCTTTTTACAAGATTTGAAAAAAATAAAGGATCAAAAGGTAGTTTGATGGGAATATATATTTTTCAGTGGCGATCACATGTATTTGTTTATTACACTTTTAGAGATGCACAAATTATCATAATAAAGTAGTTGAACCTGAATGGTTGGAGCTAGATGAGCAAGGATTTCTTCCAGATGACAGTGAACCTTTAGACATAGTTAATCAAGGTATTAATGGTGAAGTGCAATGTTCAAATGCAACTGATATGATCTCTGTGGCTTCTCTTTCTATGAGTTATATTATTACACAATATGAAAAACAAGTTCGAACTTTTTATCAAATTGCCTAAATGAAAAACAATATTTATTTCTACTTGAATGCTAAATGTTTATTGAACTAAAGAAGATTCAAAATGTTACATTTTTATTAAGTTTAAACTAATTACCTTGTTAAAAAGTTTTCAATATTTGTTTTACTATTGGATTTAATCATACATTAATTATTAATTATTATCATACATTAATTATGTATTATTCAATTCTAGATTTCTTATTATAAATTCTATAAGTGTTTTCTGCAAATCATTCAAGGTGATATAATTATTTATAGAGCATTCACTTCTTTATTATCATTTTTAGATTATGATGTAAATTATACTGGAAGTCAAACACGATCAACAAGAAAAAAACAAAATGCTACCTTTAAATTAAAATCTGATATTTCACCTTCGGTTGAATCAGATTCTGATGACTATGAACATAATATGAACAATATAGAAATAAACAAAAGTCCGGAACCTCATGTTACTCACCAAGATAATGTGAAGCCTAAAAATCTTATAAATACAAATAAGGACAATCTTACAATGAAATCAACTATGAATGAAAATAGGTTTATATCAAAGATTAATAATGCAAGAGAATCATTATTTTCAAATCCCCTAGAGCCACAAATTTGTAGTATTTGTTCTGAAACTTGCTTAAATATAAATGCTCTTATAAAGCATAGAGCTCAAAATCATGGGGCTAAAAAATTTCAATGCCAAAATTGCGGTATGTATTTTTCAAAAAGTAGAAAATATGCATTACGAATTATCAATATTTGAATTATATAGTAACAAATAAATATATATAGTAACAAATAAATATATATTGTTGACATGATATTTTCATATCTCAGTCTGGCAGGGGTGCCTGGTAAAGAGATTATGAAACAATTTTTATATATAATATACTTATATATCTATATATATATAATATTTAAATAATTAGCTTGTACTTAATAGTTATGTTATAATTATTATAATTTTTTTGAATTTAGGAACGGATTTACAACTCTAAGAGGGTTGAGAATTCACTTGCGACTGCACACAGGAGAAAAGCCAGAGATATGTTCTGTGTGCAACAAAGCGTTTTCTGATCCAAGAACATTGCGGTAAATATTTTGTTTAGTTATAAACTTTTGTGTGAAACATAAATAAAATCCTAGAAAAAGTGGAATATTTTAAGTTAACTCAATAACATTTCATTATGATTTAAGTTACTATTAATAAAATACAATGTTATTTGTAGGAATCATGAACGAATACATTCTGGTCAACATCCATTTGAATGTGAGCACTGTGATAAACGATTTCCTGCAAGATTGGCACTACTTCATCATACTCGTTCGCATACAGGAGAAAAACCCAATAAGTGTCATATATGTTCAAAAGTTATGTGCAAATGAATAGCCTGCAGGTAAACTATAGTAAAAAGAATATTCAACATCTTTAAATTGATCATAACATGTTCATTTTAAAACTTTACTAATATATATTTTTTATTAATCCAAGACCACTCTTACAAATTAAATTTAGGAACATATTAATACATTTATGCAAGCATTTGATGCAATTGTTTTCAATTGGATTAATTATATTTTTTTATTGTTAAAGACCTTTATAGATTATTTTAATTTTCTATTTCAATGTTGAAAATTATTGATAAAGTTTGTTTTTTTGGTTATTGAATGTTTCATAACAAGTATCTAAATGAACATATTTATTTTAAAAATGCAACATTAATGTATGCACAGTGAAAATAATTACCTTCTTGATACTATAAAAATGTATAAATCAAGAAAAGTAAAGAAAGTTATTTTATAAATATTTGTAAATCAAGTCAAATAAAGTAAATATTGTTATTTGATTGCAGATACATTTAAGAACACATACTGGAGAAAAACCTTTTATTTGTAAAATTTGTAATAGAGGTTTCACAAACACTACATCATTATCATTGCACCAGCTTACACATAATGGTAAGTATTCAAACAAAATTCAACACATTAATGCTTTCATGCTTTAACAATTTAACTTCTATTTAACGTTACACTTTGTTTTCAATAAAGGTGTTAAGAACTTTCAATGTAGTATTTGTGGTAACGTATGGGGCGATCTGGAGAACTTACAATACATATGCGTACTCATACAGGTGAAAAACCTTTTGCCTGCAAACTCTGCGAGAAAGATTTACAAACAGTTCGGCACTGACGGCACATATGCCAAGGCATACAGGTATTAATAATCATAAAAACAATTTATTATCATTATTTTTAATATTGTTTATTTTCGTTTTTACTTTAAGAGAAACGTGTAAAATATTTTTTAGAATTTCTCAACTTGCTGAATGATGACATATAGTGTGAAAACTTACATATAAATAGTGATAGTAAAAAGTAAAAAACAGTTTTTTTTATTTTGACTGCTGCAATAAATTATATATGTATAAAACAACATACCTGTGAATATAATTCATAGTTCGGTTGCTGAACTTATTATCTCATATTTTTTAGAGTTAAATTAATTATCAAACATTATTATAATAATTATTATTATTGAAGGCATTAAAAATTTTGTTTGCTCTTACTGTGGAAAACGAGTGGCACGTTCCGTCGAACTGCGAATACACATGCGCACTCATACAGGTGAACGTAATTTCAAATGTGCATACTGCGACAAACGATTTGCAACTTCCAGCAATCTTCGATTACATGAACGCAAGCATACAGGTAATTTTCTCAAATACCTGTTATATATATATATATATATATATAAATCATTATTTATTGTATTAGTCATCAAATATATTTTACTTATGTGATTAATAATCACCATACTAATTATCAGCATATTTATTGTTTATAATATATGTTCTAACAATATATTTAGTCATAATTATCAACGTCGCTTGTGAATGTAACAATTGTTATTAGAGAATATTCAGTTCCAATAACAAAAATTATACTATACTAAATGATAATGAGACGATTGATATAGCCCCAAACATTGTGAAGCCAAAATTAAACGTTTATCTCTGGTATTCTAGTGAAGCAATTAATGCTTCAGTGTGTAAAGAATTATTTCTTAAATTTGTATATCTAAGCGTTTATTTATTTATAATTATAGATTTAATATACTGAATTAAGATGATGTTTTCTTAGCTTCTTTGTGCCTGCTCTTTTGACATAAATTTACTCCTTATAGGTGAGAAGCCTTATGCTTGCACAATTTGTTCAAGAAGTTTTGCTGATTCTCACGTGCTTCGCAATCATATTAGAACCCATACTGGAGAACGCCCACATGAATGTCAAATTTGTCATTCTCGATTTGCTCAGCAGGCATCATTAAGGGCTCATATGAAAACACATAGGAATAAAGATGATCTCAATAATAGCGGTAAGATTCAATGATATACTGTAAAATGTATAAATCGGAAATTGACAAAAACTATAAACAATATGGGAATTTTTTCATACTATATTAAAAGTTTGTGAATTGAAGTGCATTGATTCAAAGTATCAATGCACTTCAATTGATTTATATGTATGGAGTACTCGAAGTAGAAGTTTGTGTTTTGCCAGAAAATCCGATTTGCCAAGTTGTTTTTTTTTTGGCGTTTCAAGTTATTCTGAATCGTTTAACACCAAATTTACGTGCGTAAGCCAAAATTTGATCTTTTGTCGACGTTTCCTCTAAAACGTTATCTAAAGCAATTGCATTTGAACACAAACTCACAATTGATATTTTAACTTAAATGCTTCAATTCCGAACGTAAAAATATTATTAGATATTGGCTTGAATTTTTGTTGTATTCTGATAAATTGGTTTTATTATTATGAGATTAATTCTTATGAAAATATCTTTGATAATATTGTAAACGATAATCAAACCAATAATAAGATAAGTTAAGTTGAGAAAAGTAATCTTATTAATAATTATGCTATTAAATCACTAATTGTTTTAACGAATGCGGTAAATTTTGAAAATGCAAATATAGTTGATAGTTCTGATATTTAGGGCCGTTCAAGTATTACGTAAGCACTATAGGGGGGCGGGGAGGGTTGTTGATTTGCTTATTTTGGGTTGACATGGGGGGCAGGGGAGTCTGGATGAGGGACATATTTTTGATGAATAGTTTTATCTTACTTTTTTTAAATGCATTTTACAGATTCAGTCCCCACTGCAATTAATAATGAAGATAATCAAAATTTGCCTCAAAGTTCTGAATTAATAACACCTAGCGCTGTTGGCAGTAACTGTTCATTAACTCATGACCCATTAGATGATCAAGCAGATGGTAGTCTTCTCATTGATCAGACAGAAAGTATTTTGAGTAATAATGATAGTCAGGTCATTTACAGCAATACTGACGGAGATCTCATATATAACAAAAAAGATAGCGTATATAGTTATGCTTATCAATGACGTAATGAAATATAAGTATAAATAATGAAGATTTGTTTTATTACTCCTAATAAACGATTTAAGCTTTTAGAATTGAATAATGTTATTTTCCATACTATAATTTTTTTATAATTAAAAGTATTTAATTCATAAAGATTTTATAAAACAGGTATCAATATCATTTCATCATTCAAGGCTACTCTACTAAAATGAAAAAATCATTTTTTCTTTAAAATTTCTAAAAAACATCTAATATATATATATATATATATATATATATATATATATATATATATAAAATTGTTTCTTGGGCATCCATCCAGTAATTAAAAAACAGTTTTATTGAAAAATGTTTTTATTTAGAGAACATACGTTTCAGGTCTTGATTTGACCCATCTTCAGTGCTACAATTAAATAATTCAGGGTTACAAATTAAAACAATATAAAAAATACATAATTACAGCCAAAAATAAGTAAAACCAATGTATATGAAAAGTATATATGAAAAACAACCATAAAATAAACAAATGTAAAGAAACTCACCATACAAATAAACTTTGAAAAATAACACAAAAACACACAAAATTGCACGAAAAAAAAATAAATATGAAATAAAAAATTGATAAAACGTCGAGTTATGAGAATTTTTAAAAAATTGTAAAATTAAAATAAACTAGCTGTAAGTGGAATTCTGTCTTAAGGCAATTAAGGCATCGTGCCTTAAGGCAAATTGCTGGAACTTCCCGTACCAAAATTATTATTTTTTTAAAACATTAACATTTTGAAAAAAAATTACTTTGAAAGAATAAGATTTTTGAGAAACTATAAAGGACAAAAAAATAACTTTTCTTTGAAAAAAAAAATTTTTTTTAAAAAACATTTTTTTTTTTGAAAAAATTTTTTTTTCTGTATTTTGACATATTGTAGAAGATCTGAAATTTTTTTGAAAGCAATCGTACTGCTTTAACTGCATAGGGACAAAATATAAAGCGCGTAAGCGCCGCGTCGCTGTCTAACGCATAAGCATTGGTACGGAACCCATAGAATTTTAACAAAATGTATACTTATTGTTAAAATCTCTATAAAATATCTGATAATTTGATGTGCATATGTCTAATGATCATTTTTTGACCGCCAAATGGCTCATTTTTTTACTTTTTCCTCCATATCTCCGAAACCGCTAGACCTACCTTCATGAAATTTTATCGATTCTTCACCTTGTCAATACAAGTGAAATGTTTTTGAATTATTCAATCGGACGCTCCGTTCTCTTAAAACTGAGTTACCGTTTTCGGCACTTTTTCCCCGTATCTTCGGAACGGCTAGACCTGCCTTCGCCAAAAACTAATCAGCACGTCTCCTTATCAATACGAATCGAATGTTTTTGAATTATTCAAATCGGTTGATCCGTGTTCCCGAAATCGTCGACGAAAATTTGTATCCGCACATACATACAACACGCACATACATACATACATACATACAGACATCATACTACATACATACATACACACACACAACACAACACACACACATACATCCATTTTTCTAAGGTATGCCAAAATGTTCAGAAACCTTTGAAACGTAAAGATATATAAAAATTTTCATTTTCGATTTTTTTGCGATTACTATAACTTGCCCTACGGGAAGTTAATAATATATTTTATTATAAAAAAGCTTATTCCAAACGAACATGTTGTTAGTTTGGAAAATGTATTATGTGTGTGTACGAGAGTAAAATGTGTGCGTAAGTGTTTGCGGATAATAGTGGAAACTGTATCGACATTGGATGAGAGAGCGGGATAGAGTCTCTTAGATAGCTGTTTTTGTTTGTGGCCAATTCATTTTTGTAGTAAAGACTTATTTTTGTAGACGCCTTACATAGCTGTTTGTGGCCAATTTATTCTCATTTTTGTATAACTTTTACCATTAAGACTCGAAGAGCTGAAAAAGAAAGCCCTACTCGTGCGATCTAGAGTGCCTTACATAGCTGTTTTTGTTTGTGCCCAATTTATTTTTGTAGTAAAGACTTGTAGAGCTGAAAGAGAAATCCCTACTAATGCACTCTAGACGCCTTACATAGCTGTTTGTGGCCAATTTATTATTGTTTTTGTAATACTTTTACCATTAAGACTCGAAGAGCTGAAAAAGAAAGCCCTACTCGTGCGATCTAGAGTGCCTTACATAGCTGTTTTTGTTTGTGGCCAATTTATTTTTGTAGTAAAGACTTGTAGAGCTGAAAGAGAAATCCCTACTAATGCACTCTAGACGCCTTACATAGCTGTTTGTGGCCAATTTATTATTGTTTTTGTAATACTTTTACCATTAAGACTCGAAGAGCTGAAAAAGAAAGCCCTACTCGTGCGATCTAGAGTGCCTTACATAGCTGTTTTTGTTTGTGGCCAATTTATTTTTGTAGTAAAGACTTGTAGAGCTGAAAGAGAAATCCCTACTCATGCACTCTAGACGCCTTACATAGCTGTTTGTGGCCAATTTATTATCATTTTTTGTATACTTTTACCATTAAGACTCGAAGAGCTGAAAAAGAAAGCCCTACTCGTGCGATCTAGAGTGCCTTACATAGCTGTTTTTGTTTGTGGCCAATTTATTTTTGTAGTAAAGACTTGTAGAGCTGAAAGAGAAATCCCTACTCATGCACTCTAGACGCCTTACATAGCTGTTTGTGGCCAATTTATTCTCATTTTTGTATAACTTTTACCATTAAGACTCGAAGAGCTGAAAAAGAAAGCCCTACTCGTGCGATCTAGAGTGCCTTACATAGCTGTTTTTGTTTGTGGCCAATTTATTTTTGTAGTAAAGACTTGTAGAGCTGAAAGAGAAATCCCTACTCATGCACTCTAGACGCCTTACATAGCTGTTTGTGGCCAATTTATTTCATTTTTGTAATACTTTTACCATTAAGACTCGAAGAGCTGAAAAGAAAGCCCTACTCGTGCGATCTAGAGTGCCTTACATAGCTGTTTTTGTTTGTGGCCAATTTATTTTTGTAGTAAAGACTTGTAGAGCTGAAAGAGAAATCCCTACTCATGCACTCTAGACGCCTTACATAGCTGTTTGTGGCCAATTTATTATTGTTTTTGTAATACTTTTACCATTAAGACTCGAAGAGCTGAAAAAGAAAGCCCTACTCGTGCGATCTAGAGTGCCTTACATAGCTGTTTTGTTTGTGGCCAATTTATTTTTGTAGTAAAGACTTGTAGAGCTGAAAGAGAAATCCCTACTCATGCACTCTAGACGCCTTACATAGCTGTTTGTGGCCAATTTATTTTCATTTTTGTAATACTTTTACCATTAAGACTCGAAGAGCTGAAAAAGAAAGCCCTACTCGTGCGATCTAGAGTGCCTTACATAGCTGTTTTTGTTTGTGGCCAATTTATTTTTGTAGTAAAGACTTGTAGAGCTGAAAGAGAAATCCCTACTCATGCACTCTAGACGCCTTACATAGCTGTTTGTGGCCAATTTATTATTGTTTTTGTGTAATACTTTTACCATTAAGACTCGAAGAGCTGAAAAAGAAAGCCCTACTCGTGCGATCTAGAGTGCCTTACATAGCTGTTTTTGTTTGTGGCCAATTTATTTTTGTAGTAAAGACTTGTAGAGCTGAAAGAGAAATCCCTACTCATGCACTCTAGACGCCTTACATAGCTGTTTGTGGCCAATTTATTGGTAATAAAGACTCGAAGAGCTGAAAAAGAAAGCCCTACTCGTGCGATCTAGAGTGCCTTACATAGCTGTTTTTGTTTGACTTGTAGAGCTGAAAGAGAAATCCCTACTCATGCACTCTAGACGCCTTACATAGCTGTTTGTGGCCAATTTATTATTGTTTTTGTAATACTTTTACCATTAAGACTCGAAGAGCTGAAAAAGAAAGCCCTACTCGTGCGATCTAGAGTGCCTTACATAGCTGTTTTTGTTTGTGGCCAATTTATTTTTGTAGTAAAGACTTGTAGAGCTGAAAGAGAAATCCCTACTAATGCACTCTAGACGCCTTACATAGCTGTTTGTGGCCAATTTATTATTGTTTTTGTAATACTTTTACCATTAAGACTCGAAGAGCTGAAAAAGAAAGCCCTACTCGTGCGATCTAGAGTGCCTTACATAGCTTTTTTGTTTGTGCCCAATTTATTTTTGTAGTAAAGACTTGTAGAGCTGAAAGAGAAATCCCTACTCATGCACTCTAGACGCCTTACATAGCTGTTTGTGGCCAATTTATTATTGTTTTTGTAATACTTTTACCATTAAGACTCGAAGAGCTGAAAAAGAAAGCCCTACTCGTGCGATCTAGAGTGCCTTACATAGCTGTTTTTTTGTGGCCATTTATTTTTGTAGTAAAGACTTGTAGAGCTGAAAGAAAATCCCTACTCATGCACTCTAGACGCCTTACATAGCTGTTTGTGGCCAATTTATTATTTTT